CCCCAAAACCCCAAAACCCCAAAACCCCAAAACCCCAAAACCCCTATTTAGAAGAGAATTTGAATATAAGGGCAAGATTTTTCAAATTTATATAATTTAAAATTCAAAAGAATATGCAGGTTAAGTACTGGAAGAACTTACAAAGTCCAATCGACGGGATGCAAAAGATATCTGCCATGTGCTGGTCACCTGACTCTAAGAGACATGCTGTAGCAACTGCTGATAGAGTCGTCCAGCTTTATGACGAGAATGGAGAGAAGAAAGATAGATTCGGGACAAGACCCGCAGAGAAAGGACAGAAGAGCTATGTTATCAGAGCCATGGCCTTCTCTCTAGATTCTACCAAGATCGCTATTGCTCAGAGTGACAATGCTATCTTTGTGTACAAGCTTGGTACCGAATGGAAAGAAAGAAAGTCTATCTGTAACAAGTTTATCCAAGCTTCTTCTGTTACTTGTATGATCTGGCCTAATGATAGGGTGAACGAAATTTACTTTGGAGTTGCTGAAGGGAAAGTAAGAGTCGGAACTCTTAAGAATAACAAGAGCTCCTCAGTATACGCTACAGAAAGCTATGTAGTTTCTATTTCCGCTTCCCCAGATGGAAACAATATCGTATCTGGGCATTTGGATGGAGCTATTATTACAATGAATCTTGAATCGAAGGCAAAACAAAAGATTACCACTCACTCTTCTGTCCCTTATGCTCTTGCTTGGGGAGTACAAATTCTTGCTGCAGGAAATGATGGAAGAGTTGTGTTCTACGAAGCTGACGGGAACTGCTTCCAGAAGATCGATTATTCAAAAGATGACAAAGTGAAAGAATTCACAGGAGCCATGTTCAACCCTACTGGTGAAACTGCCATCGTAGGAAACTTCAACAGGTTCTATGTCTACAACTATAACAATAAGAGACCACAATGGGATGAGATTTGTTGTAAACATATTGAGAACTACTACAGTGTCACTGCTCTGGCCTGGAAATTTGATTCTTCCAAGTTTGGATTCGGATCTCTCTGTGGATCGATCGATGTCTTCGATGTTTGTCTCAGAAAGAGTAAATCCTTCACTTATGTATCATTAAGTCAAGTCATAGTCAAGTCTAAGGAAGGAAATAAACAGATGGTCATAAAATCCGAAGTCGGTGCTGAGATTGATAAGATCAACGTCTCTCAAGATAGGTATGTTATAGGTAACACTGCTGAAACTATTCTTCTTGGTGACATCGAGACTGGAAAATCTTCTGAAATTCTTTGGAGAGGTTCTGGAAACGAAAAGTTCATATTCAATAATCCTAATGTCTGTATGATCTACAACGCTGGTGAACTCTCTATCGTTGAGTTTGGAGTCAACGAGATCATTGGCACATGTAGAACAGAAAGCTTGCACCCAAATCTGATCAGTGCTAGGTTGAATTATTCTCAAAAGCAAGGATATGAAGAAGAGAATGTGGCAAAAGTTATTGCCTATCTCCTTGACCCTCAGACTATCTATGTCCAAGATTTGAACAACCAGCAAATTTTAGCTCAGATCAATCATGATGGAAAGATTGATTACTTAGAGCTCAACCCTGGAGGCAATAAGCTGTTGTTCAGAGATAGATGGAAGCAACTTTATTTGTACAACATTATCGAACAGACTAAGACCACTCTGCTGAACTATTGCTCATATGTAAACTGGGTACCTTTCAGTGATGTTGTAGTTGCTCAGAACAGAGGCAATCTATGTGTCTGGTACTCTATTGATGAGCCAGATAAGATGACCAAGTACGATATCAAGGGAGATGTTGAGTCTATTGAGAGATCTGACGGAAAAACTGAAGTCATTGTTGATGATGGAAGCAACACCTACAGTTATGCTCTTGAAGAAACCTTAATCGCATTCAGTGCAGCTCTAGAATACAAAAGCTTGGAGAATGCCATGGAGATCCTCGAGCCACTTGAACTCACTCAAGAGAATGAAGCTAACTGGAAGAGTCTCACCAAGATTGCTATTGAACAGAACAACTTCTTTGTTGCTGAGAGATGCTATGCTGCTCTTGGTGATGTTGCTAAGGCTGGATATTATAGAAAGATTAATGACTTGGTGAGAGAGAATGGATATGATGACTATAAGGTTCAATCTAAGCTCGCTGTTCTCTCAAAACATTTCCAAAAGGCTGAAGCCATATTGCTAGATCATAATCAGCTTGAAGAGGCTATGGCTATGTATCAAGAAGTACATAGATGGGACGAAAGTATCAAGCTTGCTGAGAGAATGAAGCATCAGGATGCTCAAGAATACCTAGATAACTACTATGGGTGGCTCCTTAGTACTAACCAAGAGCCAAAAGCAGCTGAAATTAAAGAAAGAGCTGGTGATTACATTACAGCAATTAACTTATATTTGAAAGGAGGACTTCCAGCCAAGGCGGCTAACATTGTAACTACCTACAATATGTCTTATCCCCAAGATCTACTTGAGAAGATCGCTTCTTCTCTGACATCTAACAACATGCATGAGAAAGCAGGTGACTTCTTTGAGAAATTAGACTTACAACAGAGAGCTCTAGATGCTTTTGTTAGAGGAAGAGCATTCAGAAAAGCTATTGACTTAGCAAAGAGAGCTTTCCCAACAGCTGTTGTCAATCTTGAAGAAGAATGGGGAGATCATCTCTGCTCCCAGAAGCAGCACGATCTTGCTATCAGTCATTACAAACAAGCTGGTATCTTCAGTAAGGCTGTTGAGGCTGCAATTAAAGCTAAACAGTGGAATACTGCTGTTCAGTTAGTGCAAGGTCAGCCAGAAGAAATCGCTAGACCATTCTACAGAGAGATTGCTCTTCACTTTGCAGAAGTAAGACAATTCGATTTAGCTGAAAAGTACTTTGTTAAAGCTGGAGAATTTGTTGAGGCATTTCAGATGTACGTTAAAGCTAGCAAGTGGGATGCTGCATACAAGCTCATCTCAAGATATCTCCCAGAGTCAGAATATACCATGCTCTACATCAAGGAAGCTCAAAGCTTCGAAAAAGAGGGAAGATATAAGGATTCTGAGAAAATGTACATCACTGCTAATGAGCCTGATTTGGCTATCAACATGTACAAGAATGCTAAGTTGTACGACCAGATGATCAGATTAGTCTCTAAGTACAGGAAGGAGCTTCTTAAGGACACTCATATCCATCTTGCTCAGGAATGTGAGACTGATGGAAATCACAAACAAGCTGAACACCACTATGTTGAGGGAGGCCATTGGAATGGTGCTGTTGATATGTACACTGTCCATGAAATGTGGGACGATGCTATCAGAGTTGCTAAAGCTCATGGAAGCCAAAAGGATTGTGAAAATGTTGCAGTGAAAGTTGCTGATACCATGGGACATGATTCAGGAAGAGCTTTCCTCATCAAGAATGGTCTTGTTGATGCAGCTATTGAATTTGAAGCAAATAAAGATAATTTTGATGAAGCTTTCAAGTTGGCTAATCTTCATGCTAAGTATAAGCTTCCAGATGTTCATTTGAAGTATGCTCTATACTTGGAAGATGAGAAGAGATACAAGGAAGCTGAAGAAGAATACATTAAGGCTAGTAAGCCAGGAGAAGCTATTGGAATGTACAAGCACTTAGGAGATTGGCATTCTGCCTTACAGGTTGCTAGACAGTACGACCCAGATAGTGTCAACTCTGTCTTCTTCAGTCAAGGAGAGTCTTTCCTACAAAGAAGAGATTTTGCTAAAGCTGAAGGATGCTTCATCAACGCTAAGGACCCAGAAGCTGCTATTAATGCATATATGAGGGAGAGAATGTATGGAGAAGCCTTAAGGGTTGCTAAAAATCATTGTCCTCACAGAGTTCATGAGATTAACCAAAAGATTGGAGACCCAGGAGGCATGGGATCAGACCTCAAAGTTGAGGATATCTTCAATAGTGCTAAGATTTCTGAAGATAATAGAGATTATAGTAAGGCTATTGATGGATACCTCAGAATCACCGAGCATGACACATCTGATAAGGGACTCCTGGAAGAAGCATGGGAAAGAGCAGCCAACCTTGCTATGAGCTATGATAAAGATAGAGTCAGAGATGTAGTGGAGACTGTTGGAGAAAGACTCTACAGCATTCAGAGCTATGATGCCTCAGCAGAGATTTATGAGAGATATGGAGATTATCAGAGAGCAATTGAGATTTACATGGCTGCTCAACAATTCACAAAGGCTAAACAAGTTGCAGGTTCAGTCAACCCTGCTGAACAACAGAGATTGTTATCTATTATTGATGAGAAGGAGAGACAGTTCAGGATTGATAGTGGAGACATTGGAGATATGGCTGCTGATGGAGACGCTCAAAGTCTTGAGATGCTTTTTAATAAAGGAAGATATGATCAATGTCTTCAAATTGCTGAGCAACAAGGAACTGATGTTCTAAGTGGATATCTTGAAAGATATGCTAAACAATTGGTACAGAATGGAGACTGGACTGGAACTGCAAACACCATGAACAAGTATGGATGTCCACCTAACCAAAACTTGTTTGCAGTTTACAAGACTGTTGCTCTTGAAATTTTGGCTGCTTCAAATGTTTCTGAGCTAACTGCTTGTAAAGGAATGCTTCAGAGATTGGTAGACAACCTTACCCTCAGTTATGACGATAGTAATCCTATTTTCAGGGAGTTTAATGAGTACTTACTCATTAATCATTATCTTTTGTTAAAGATCGAGTGTGAGTCTAGCTCAGGATCATCTGCCGTATACACAAGATTATGTATCTCTCTATTAAGGTACACTAAAATTATCAGGGCTGATAAAGCTTTCTTAGATGCTGGTAACGCCTGTAAAAGTGAAGGAATGAACAACATGGCCTTCCTCTTCTTCAAGAGATATCTTGATTTAGCTGAAGCTATTGAAGATCCAGATAATGCCCCATTCGAGGACAATGCTGACTTTGAGGGCACTGATATCCCATCTCCATTTGATATTCCACTTCCTGAAAGCAACCTTATGGGAGAGGATGAGAGAGAAGAAATCAGAGACTGGGTCCTTCAGATCCAGATGGATGACAACATCGACACTACCCTCAACATGAGGCCAGATGAGGATTATGGGGGTGAAATTTATGAAGCTACTCTTGTGAATCCGAACAATGGAGAACAGTATGATCCATGTATTGTCAGTGGATATCCTCTCCTCAGATCTAACATGATCACATGCAAGTTCTGCAACAAGGGAGCCATCAGAGAGTACTGGAATGAGTACGTCACTGTTGCTCAAAAGTGCCCTTGGTGCAAGTCTATCCAGACTCCTTACTAATTCCTCACTCAAATTACAATTCAATTTTTTAATATTTGGAGGGGTTTTGGGGTTTTGGGGTTTTGGGGTTTTGGGG